TGTTACTTACCTTTCCTGCAGCTCCTGTCAGCTCCCTTCTCCTGCGTTCCGGTCAGCTCCACCGTAAGTCTCGCGGTTTGAGTGCCGCGCGGAGCATTGCCACGGTAATCCGTGGCAATGCTCAGACGCCGCGGTTTTCGCAAGACTTACAGTGGAGCTGACCGGAACGGAGGAGAAGGGAGCTGACAGGAGCTGCAGGAAAGGTAAGTAACAGCTCGCTGACAGCCCCCAACAGGACAAACCCGGCGGTCCTGGTCTGTATTATGGCGATGTAAGTTGCCATAATACAGACATTGACTCGAGTATAGGACGAGTGGTGGTTTTTCAGCACAAAAAATGTGCCGAAAAACTCGTCTTCTACTCGAGTATATACAGTATCTAGCAAAATTCATGCCACATTTGTCTGAGGTGTGTGAGCCATTGAGAAGGCTTCTAGATAAAGATGCAGTTTGGCATTGGCTTCCCAAGCATGACCAGGCAGTGGAGGAAATATAAAAGCTGTGATAAAACGTTTTTTGCTGAAGTCAATCAAGCAGACTATCTTAACCCCTTAAGGACCAAACTTCTGGAATAAAAGGGAATCATGACATGTCACACATGTCATGTGTCCTTAAGGGGTTAATGTCACAGATCAGCGGCTACATCAGCTCATACAGCACACAGAAAGTGATGCAACTTTGCAAGCACTGACGTCTATAGTTCTGATGGGGTGGCCAGATGAAAAGGATGCAGCACCTGCAATTGTGAAGGAATATTGGTCCTTCAGAGATGAGATCAGCATACAAAATGGTATCTTGTACAAAGGTCCAAGGGTCATAGTGCCAAAGTCACTAAGATCAGATATGTTATCGCGCATACACTCAAGCCACATCGGAGGTGAGGCTTGCTACAGACAAGCTCGTGATACTCTTTACTGGCCCAACATGCAAGGTGAAATCAAAGACTTTGTCAGCAATTGTCCCACTTGCAATGAATATGCACACTCGCAACAAAAAGAAACCATGATGTTACGTGAGATACCTACACATCCTTGGCAGATTGTCAGCATGGACTTATTCAATTATGCTGGAAAAGAGTACCTGCTCTTAGTCGTTCATTACTCAGACTTCTGGCAAATTGAACTGCTTCCTGACCTGTCCACTGAAACTACAATTAAGCGATGCAAGGCGCAATTTGCACATCATGGCCAACCAACTAAAGTGATTTCCGATAATGGTCCTCAGTTTGCAAGCTTACAGTTCAGGAAATTTGCCACTGAATGGGAGTTTGAGCATGTGACTTCTTCACCATGTCATCCACAAGCTAATGGCAAAGCTGAATCTGCTGTGAAAATAGTTAGGAATTTTTACAAAAAAGCTAAAAGTGATGGTAAAGACCCGTGGAATGCCATCTTACATTGGAGAAACACTCCAACAGAGGGTATGGATAGTAGTCCAGCACAAAGACTGATGTCAAGGAGATTAAAGAGCTAGGGGACCCAAAACTTTACCCCAGTGGAGATTCTGCTGTATTCGTGGGATCTGAGTGCTATTTGGACACTTTGTGCACTCAGATGCAGGCTATCTAGAGATATAGGATTTGTGGGGGTCCCTATTAATATTATGTATGTTTTGGGGTATTTTATGTTTTATATTTTGTACCTCTAGTACCTGGGAGATAATTAGTTTAAGCAAAGTACCCTAAATTATCTCCCAGACACAGAGACTCCGTGGAGTGTTGTGGAAGTGTTTTGGGCATGTTTTATTATGTTTTTGCTTAAGATTCCATGCTTAGGGTCAGTGTATAAAAGTGGGCCATTTGGCCGGAATAAAACATTAGTGTTGTACCTTTCATTAAGATTTGACTGATGTTTGGGTATGCAAATGGCGAACCAATTGATTTTTCCCACGACCTTAGAATTTCGGGAGAGTACGAACCAGCGTACTATGCGAACGGGCTATAATAAGTTAAGCCTCTAGCATTTCGGGAGTGTGTGAATGAATGGATATATGAAATACAAGGACTCGTTACACTTATCTCATGATTTATTATTAATTTCAGTAAATTGCAATAATTTGTCATTGTGATTTACTTTGCAATAACGTTCTCAAATTTCTCAGTACACAACGAATTCTGGTGGATTAACAAAATACTTTTTTTATTCTTGTTTACATGTGGGGCTTACATATTTTACTGTATAGTATTTACAATTTTTATTATGAATTATGAGTTTGTAATTCATAAGATCTCCCATATTACCGAAGTACATCGTACGTTATGTCCGAATACACCATGTGTGGTCTGATCAGCCATCATGGACTAATTTTTCCTTTCTGTAAATACAAGGGCTGAAACAAAACGATTGTCTTATTTCTGACTGGCTAGTTCAAGTCTCTTTGAAGTCAGACTGGAGGAACGATTCTATATTTCTCATTATAGGAGATTCTGGGAAGTGTGTAAATCAGAAACACAGTGTGGCGGCCACCCTAAGAGGAAGAGTTCTTTCCCCCTAGTAAGAACGATGCTATAATAAACCACAGGAGCGATAATCTAAAAGCGTGATATAGCTGGTATAGCTTTCCCCTACAATCATGCTATGAGGCTCTATATTGAGGGTAAACTGGAACTGTTTTAATGGGGACCACACACTGCCTTTAAATGTGAATCCCCATGCAATGGGTTTACGGTAACATATTCCAGGGGCATTTCCCACTGGACCTGAGAGGAGACTACAGTAAAACATACACATAATTACATTTACTCTCAGGTCCAGGACATATAGATCAAATACACCCCAAAAACATACATTTAACAATTGCGTACCCCCTCAAGTCCTATATATGCGGATAGCCTGAATCTGAGAGTCCAACATATCCTGAAAGCACTCAGATCTCACGAATACAGCCGAAACGCCACCACGGTATAGTTTAGACCGACCGCACATGAGGCGCCTGTCCAAAATTGTTCCATGGAATTGGGCTGTGCAGTTGGTCTCCTTCGGGAATACGAAATACAGTAACAGTACGAATGCAACTGGTTCGTATGTACACTTAGTCTGTGCCCCTCATTCGGGAGTATGTTCCCACTGAACGCCGCTCTTCTCAGACGAATATAACCGAACATACGTGGAGGTGGAAGTTCCAGTAATGTACGCGCCGTCGAGTGTCCGATTATAGTTCCATACACTTGACGACCAAACACCGCAGTATGTGTTCGCAGCTAAAGATGGCCGCAGCCACATATTCGCTCATACGAATGGCGACCATCCAGCTGACCATTTAGAATATTGCAAACAAGCATTAACGAGGTGTTGACAGAGGTTATGGAGGTTAACAAGCTGCACACTCCTCACTCCAGGTGGTCTAATCCAGTGTTTCACAACCCAGTCCTCAAGGCACACCTACCAGTCCAGGATTTAGGGATTACCCAGTTGTGTCTAAGGTGTTTTTTTTCTTCTTTGTAAAAACACCTTAGACACAACTGGGTAATCCCTAAATGGAGGTTATGGAGGTTAACAAGCTGCACACTCCTCACTCCAGGTGGTCTAATCCAGTGTTTCCCAACCCAGTCCTCAAGGCACTGTCCTATGCACTGTCCTAGGATACCAGTCCAGGATTTAGGGATTACCCAGTTGTGTCTAAGGTGTTTTTTTTCTTCTTTGTAAAAACACCTTAGACACAACTGGGTAATCCCTAAATCCTGGACTGGTAGGTGTGCCTTGAGGACTGGGTTGGGAAACACTGGTTTAATCATTTGGGAGTTTGTTCGGTTTTCGAACAGGACAATGAGAAAAGCAAAGGAGAATGTCATGCACCGAACAAACAGGTGCAGAATTCAAAGCAATTGCAATCCTAGGACAGTGTGACCTGTCACATACAGAAACAAAATAGATCCTGTATTCTTACTCTTATGGATGAACGTAGAATCTAATTTTTATCTAAATTCCGCCATTGAATAAAACATTGGAAACCATCTATAACTTGTGTCAACCTTTTTTTTTCTTCCCAAACCTGGTGTGACTTGTTCCCCTCTCTATCTTTCCTGGTGTCTCTTACTCCTTGAAGTCCTGATTCAAGCACTGCTGATCCTGATGGTGAGACAATCGAGTCAGTTCATTGAAGGACACTTCCAGTAGACCAGATTGTATTGCTAAATTTTTATTATTAGAATAAAAGACAACAAAAGCATTAAAACCGTGTCATAAATACGTCTCTACAATGTGCGATAATCTGCAGAAGATTATCGGTCTGGGAAATCTGATATCACTTTAATGATCCTTTGTATGCCACCTTCTAGTTACTATTTCTTGGATTCTAGTGTATGCGGAAGAAAATACATTTTGGGTGTTTTAAGCTGCTTTTAATCAAAGGATAACTCAGAATATAAAGTGTTCTTTCACTTTTGGGTTATTTTCATATTTATAATATTACGACTATCACATCAGTGCTGTACTCTGGCGCCTGTTTCGGAATGCAGCACAGAGATCTATGGAGACTGTGGGATTCCACACAGAGAAACACTCTGGAGAAGGTGTCCGTTTTGATGTTAGTGACAGCGGTGAGAACTGACAAAACCTGATGGATTAGAATGGATACTTTGTCTCTGATGCAGTTAGTATATCAGGATAATGTTATCTTTAGTGACAGGGTGATGATTAAACTGATTTAGGCACTGTAATCATTCTTACTCAATCCTACAGAAAGCACAAATCTCCGTGAAGTGGTCTGGGTGCTGAGGCCCTGCAGTGTTTACACTGACGGCCACTAGATGGTGCTGCAGAGTCAGACTCGGTTATTTGAGGGTTGAAGTCCTCTCACATTGGACAATGAGCATCCTATTTCAAAATGCCTGAGACTCAGATTGGCGTCAATGTTTCTCTCCGAGACTCTCAGTCTCAGAGAAGACTGGATGCAACGAGTCCCAGGTGGGACCCAGGTAAGTGTCAGTCTCGGCTAAAACACTTTCAGTCTACAATTGTTATAGAGCTCGGGATGCCGTATTAGGGAATGTGATATTGGTTGTTCATTTAATAATTAGTACCCTTTACTGCCTGATAGAAAACATATTACACTGGAATTGATTACAGAATCGCAGTTTACAGGTACAGAATCACTCAGCCTATCACTGCCTCCCAATACGGACCAAACTGATATAGTAACGTGTGTTCTGCTAGCAAGGGACCATCTCTGGGAGAAGAGACACACATAATCCTACTAACACCATAACCACTGCAATCAATTATTAGGCCTTAAAGCAAACAGCGCAGTATTAAAGCAGCATTTACAACAACAGACTGAAGACAAAACCAAAAGAAGACATGATAAAGAAAACAATAACCTAGTCCTTAAGTAATAAAGATAAAAAATTAACTAAATGTGTGAATTTCTTCTAGAATAAATCTCCAGGTTGATATATGTCCATAAGTTATTAAAACGTGTGACATTGCAGTAAAAATAAGTGTTTGATACACTCTGTATGTGTCGTGATTCCTCTGTTTAAATCATTGCATTATAACGGGGGCCTAACGTATCTGTACAGAGGATACCGATATTATTACATTCACCCTCCCTTTCTGTATTTGGTGCAGACGATCATGCTCTTCCTGAGCTGGTTTCTAAGGAAGTCGTGTGGACGCACCAGAGCCACTTTATTTTCAGTTCGAAAAAACGTTAAATAACTCGGCTGATATTATCTGAATATTTTACATGTCGTCTGTACTGCTGCTGTGTATTTCATTTTATTAACATTTAAAAGCCAATAATTATTATTATAAGTTATGTCCTAACAATATCGCTGAATACTAATAACTCACCTCGCCATCTACAGGTAAAAAATGTAAACTTGTCATAGTTCTGTAATCATTTTTAACTCATGGCCAAAATCCGAGTTCAGCTGTGAAAATGGTAAAATTATCTTACGCTCCCTTCGGCAACACTTAACTAAAACTGGTTGAATACAGAGAGGAAAGCAGTTCTTCCCAAAAAGTTATATATTAAAAAACATTCTCACTTTGACATTTTTGTTGTTGTGTGAATGAATAACAGTGAGAGTTAGGAATGTACTGGAATAATTTAACATAACAGAAATATGTCCCTTATTAAGTAGCTCCTAAACGTAGACAGGGGGACCTTTACCGGGCCCCTTGCTGGAAGTGTCGCTTCCTCCTAGTTAGTGACGTCAGACTAACCGTTACTTCTATTCTTTCTGCCTTTAAGTAGTTCTTTGCTGTTCCTCTCTGCTTTCATAAGTGTAATATAGCATTTAGGGATGAAGATACAGCCCAGGAGTCCAGCAGTAGAAGCCAAGATGGCAAATATCTGTACAGCCACAGTGTATTTTCCCCTGGTGCTCAGATAGGCGGGGATGAAGGAGAGCCAGACACTGCAGAACACCAGCATGCTGAAGGTGATATGTTTGGCCTCGTTGAAGCTGCCAGGTAGGTTTCTTGCTAGGAAAGCCGCCAGGAAACTGACCAATGCCAAGAATCCCATAAAGCCCAGTGACACGTAAAAGAAGAGGTTCTGCCCCTCGTGACATTCAAATATGACTTTATTATATCCTGATTCTGTGTTCAGTCTCGGGAAAGGTGGAGCCAAGTAAAGCCAAGCTGAGCAGATTGCTGTCTGCAACACAGAGCAAAGTCCAACTACACTTCGTGGGATCCTAGGCCCTAACCATTTCTTCAGAGGGCTGTTAGGAATGGTGGCTTTAAATGCCAGAGTCACCATGATGGTCTTAGCCAGAACTGAGGAGATACTGATGGAGAACACAATACTGAACAAGGTTTGCCGAAAGAGACAGGTAAAAATGGATGGACGACCAATGAAGACGAGACAGCAGAGGAAGCAGAGTATGAGAGAGACCAAGAGGATGTAGCTTAGCTCTCTGTTGTTGGCTCTCACTATTGGAGTGTCCTGATGTTTAATAAAGATTAACAAGATCCAAAGTGTGAAAAATGTGAATATAACAACCATGGTGACCAACATGACACCCAGCGGCTCCTGGAAGGACAAGAACTCTACCACCTTTAAAACACATTTGGTCCTTTCTTCGTTGGGCCATCGGTCCGTAGGACATTTAAAACACTCAGATGCACCTACACAAGAAGAGCAGCACTGTTACAGGGGAATGCAACTTTATCACTGGATCTCAATATATGCCTGGATGTTTTCTGCCAAAATAAATCATACTGATCAATTTAAAAGATAGACATTTAGAATGTCTCTGCTTTAATTCGTATATAATTTGTTTGTATTCAAAGATAAATCGTATTTACTGTTATTTTTCATGAAAGAAGTAGATTTGGAGAATTTTTAAGGAAATCACAAAATTTAGCACAATAGATGAATTGGGAACATTTTATATGTTAACTATAAATATCTTGTCAATTCTTCCCAAAATGAATTTAAAGGGACACTATAGTCACCCAGACCACTTAAGCTCAATGAAGTGGTCTGGGTGCCAGGTCCCTCAGGTTTTAACCCTTCACATGTAAACACAGCAGTTTCAGAGAAACTGCTATGTTTACATTGCAGGGTTAATCCAGCCTCTAGTGGCTGTCTTCCTGACAGCCTCTAGAGGCGCATCTGCGACGCTGGATTCGAAATTTGCATCCAGCATGCAGAACGTCCATAGGAAAGCATTCAGCACCAAGGGAGGGGGCACCCTTAGGGCACTATAGTGTCAGGAAAACGGGTTTGTTTTCCTGACACTATAGTGATCCTTTAATGAACAAACTGCTGTAGCTCTCAGTCTCTTTAAGTTCATAATTCACTAGTTTATTAAAATTTACATTTTGAATGTGCCAGTTCAGGAAAGTAACGTAAAGTATGTTGGTGCAGGTTGTGATGGTGTGGGGTAGTTAGATTTGATGAAGGTCGGTATATTTACCTGATTTATTGACCATCTCTCCCAGGGAACATGGCACACAATCGAAGCAGCACACAGGTTTCCCGAGCTGGGCAGACTTTCTATACCCCGGCCGGCAGCTGTTACTACACACCGACTGGGGCACCTGCAAGCAGACACCGTTACAGTCAAGGAATCAAACAATATATTATGTCGATACGTGCCGTAACCCAACTGTTAAAGAACATAAAGACCCAAATCTTTCCTTATTTTAGACAAAGTAGTTATTTAGGACTCCATTTACATACTAGTGATCTCCCTATGGGAATGACTCTGGTGCTCCCGTAGGGGCGCAGTGCATGAGCTGAAGTTGGAGCTTGTGATACTTCCAGAGGCTTTCACAACATAACCTTGGAAAACCTTGGCTTACTTTGGAGATTATATTATTATTGCATTAATAAAACGCTACTGACACTTTCACGTTTGCACCAATTTTGTGCAGATTCATCTTTTTTTTTTTCTTTTTTTTTTTAATGTATAAAACTATAACTCCACCTTTATACATCGGTTCTTTTTTCGGCCTTTTCTTGAATGTTCCATAATATAGAACGAAAATGAAATGGGAAATGAAAATGATGGGAGAGGTGCATTAAGGAATATATGGTGGCAATAAGGAAATAAATAGGGGCAAATGGGAAAAGTGTCAGAAAAACTTAACACTTTCTATACATTGTGTACTTATTACTTAAACACATCACATGCTTGTGTCTCTCTCTTCGATATTACCAGCACTGGAATAGGGGCTGTCTCTAATGTGATCACTGGAACAGGGGCTGTCTCTAATGTGATCACTGGAATAGGGGGGGATCCCATATCTGATCACTGGAATAGGGGGCACCCCTTATCTGACCACTGGAATAGGGGGCATCCTTTAAGTGACAAAGGATCAGGATAGCCTGAATAGAGGCTACAAAGGAAGTTAGGGTAAGGATGGGAGGTACAGTACTGTATACATACATATCTTATTGTGTATATACACACTCTATATAGTAACAGAGTGCTAACAGACTGCGTGATATTGGAACAGATAAGACTCACACTGTCGAAGTATTCACCCCAGGCTATAGATGTTATATTTATAGTGATCTTGTCATCTTTTGATTCTGGGTTATATGTTCCCACTTTAATCAGATTGAAGCTCTTATTCCGAATCTGAATGTTGATTATGTCGTAAGCTGCAGGAAGATCTCCATCACTGTTAAACAACATCCAGTCACTAGCATTGCTGCGGAAAGGCGTTTTTTTAAGATAGCGAAGGATCTGCATTCATTATAATAGAAAATAATTAAGTCTTGTGTTATTCAAAGCAAACAAGTGAAACTTTTACTTATTAAGTCAGATCAGACACAGTTTTTATTCAATGAAGTGATTTGGGAAACTCACATTAAACGTCATAGTTTGTGTTAATTTAATTTATGACTTTTGTAAACACAATCTGTAAGGCCACACTAACTGCTCCACAAGGAACTCAATAAATCTTGTGTGTTAAAAGACATTAAGAAGTTGGTGTCACATAGATCATTTGGACCCAGCACATCTTGCTTTAGGGCCGGCTCCATATATTGATCCAGAATGGCCGTTATTAACCAGTTTCCACATGTTATTAAAGAAAGAGAATCATATTCTGTTTTGAATTAGGAAGCCCCTGTTCATGGCCTGCCCTCTACCCATGACATGACCATTTAAACTATAGTGACTCCATTTTGGTCGGACCTCCACTTGTTTGGGTTTTTATTCTTGGTTTTCTCCATTCTAATCATGGAATTTCATATAGAAATTTTGCTTTCAATCAATATATATATATATCCTACAGCAGTTGTGGAATAAAGTAAATGATGGTGATATATAGGTATTCATTTACCTGCCATGGATGCATGCTGCCCATCTTAGCACATGGTTTATTGTAAATTTCAGGACTACACATGGAGATGGCATGCAAGGCATGGGCATAGGCGTAAACTGCAAGGTAGGCATGATACGTGTAGCTCAGGTCATTTATCTCAAACAGAGAGGGCAATTTATTGCCAAACACCTCATTCCCTCTACAACCACCTTCCTCGGCTATGTTTAATGAAACAGAGGATTCCTGGCTCACATCGTCTTCCGACCACCTGCACTTGAAGACTTTCTCCCAGAACAACCTTATGAAGGGATATTGTGAGGATTTGGATGGATGTAGATCATTAAGGAATTCTTCAAATCCTGGCATCGTTCCTGTTTTAGGAATCAAGCAAAGCATTCCATTTAAGACTTTCCATGCCTTCATGGAGAAGAGACTAGGAGTAACTGCAAAAGAAGCAGAAGAAACAAATATTTTCCCAGTCATCTCTCTGTCATGCAAGACATCTAGGAGAACAATTACATGGACCTCAGGGCTGTGGAGGACAACCACCTGGACAGAGCTTCCCTTAATGACATCCACCACCCTGTGGATCTGTTTCATTGAGTAACTCAGATGTATCTTCTCCATAAAGGCCACACAGCCGCCACTCTTTTCTATGCCAGCTTTTATGGCTTGTCCACCCTGCTCTCCAACATCATTGTCCACAACCAGCATTCCCACCCAAGTCCAGCCAAAGCGGCCAAGAAGTTGAGTGATGGCGACGTTCTGTAACATATTACTTGGCACCGTGCGGAGAAATGATGGAAAGAGCATCTTGTTACTTAGAGCTGACAAAGTGGCCCCATGACTGATCTGAAAAAAATCATTTTAATTGTGAATAAATATGGGAAGATCTATCCTGAATCATGGCGTGTGATAAAATCAATCAGGCCTCTCTGCTGGCCTGGAAAATCTAGGCATAAGATTCAGTTTACATTATGTAATAAGCTTCTAATCATTGAAGGCTTTTAACTAAAAGGAGATTGGGAATAGAATAGTGAAGGGGCAAAAACAGAAACGTCCTAACTTAATAGTTTACAGCAAGGCTGTCCAACCTGCGGCCCCCCAGATGTTGCTGAACTACAACTCCCATGATTCCCTGACTATCTGTTTAATTGAAAGAATCATGGAAGTTGTAGTTCAGCAACATCTGGGGGGCCGCAGGTTGGACAGGCCTGGTTTATAGTATAGTTATTCAATCTACGCTACCATTGATCAATCTAATAATTGTAATACAAGTACTCCAAGTAATCTGTACATTATATATCAGTTATTTTTATTAGTACAATAGTTAATTAGGTAACTGCACTATGTTTGTTACTATTATAATACAATAAATATTTAATATACCTGTGGAAAATGGAGAACACCGAGGACCCTGGCGATGGGCAGAGACAGCGCTGATACAAGTTCACCCACCATCCCCACCATGACTGAGGGAGCATGGCAGTCATATGAAGGAATGGGGGATTTGGCCCCCGATACCAAGGACAGAGCCCCCCAAATTGCTCGGAGCTCAGACATACAGGAGTCAAACATACTGAATCCTAAGGTGATATTGGGTAACAGATCCGTAGTATTGTTAATTTCATCAATGGCAAACATCATGCCAAGCACGTCCCGGTAATAGCGAACGTGGAACCTGGAATAAAGGAAGGATTTTTGCTGAATATAAAATACTCCACACAAATAGAACGTGGTTATTCCCGATACATAATGCAGGGTACAGAGAACTCACCATAAATCCCTGTAGGCTACGCAGAGTGTACACAACCAACATGAAAAACGTAAATTCCCCAGCACTCCTTCCTGATAACGGAGCCTTCTTACTACATCTTAAACAAACACTATAGGGTCAGGAACACAAAAGGTGTATTCCTCACACTATAGTGTTTAAAAAAAACTGTTAGCTCCCTGCCTCCCCCTTACTCCCTTAAAAAGCTGTAAAACTTCCCTTTTTACAGCTATGCTTGGAGCACCTTGCGTCTAGGCACATTCCAATCCACCTCTATGTGTGACATCAAAACTGCCAATCACAATGCTTTCCCATGGGAAAGCATAGCATTGGCTAAGATTGACAATTAGGGTGGGTCAGGGGTGCGGCCAAACACTGATCTGGCCAATAAGCATGTTCTCATAGAAAGTTCAGTATCTCTATGCAGAGCGTGGAGACACTGAACGTCAGTGCAGCACAGTGTGTATCACGGAGTCAGGAAGCACCTCTAGTGGCCGTCTAAGTGATTGCCACTGGAGGTGTCCCTATGCACCAATGTAAACACTACCTTTTCTCTAGCACAAAGCCTGCAGGGGCTGACTATACTCACCAGAACAAATACATTAAAGAAACACTATAGGGTCAGGAACACAAACATGTATTAGAAAGGTAAAAAAACGCTTAGGGGGGGTCTGCCTTGACGTTGGCAGGCGGGCATTCCCTCCAGTGGCCATTGGAGTAACTAAATGACCTCCATTTGTTTAAATATACATAGGGATTTAGGATAGAGCGCAGGTAACTTTTTATTTGGTTTCTACTATATATATTGGGACTGATGTGTACTGTAGTGCTGACAAAGCAGAAGCATCCTATGTAAGATATAAGGAAGCCAATAATGTGTGCAAAAAGGCAATTAAAGTGGCTAAACTAGAAAATGAGAAATTGATAGCCAAAGAATGCAAAACCAATCCCAAATTTTTTTTCCAAGTACATCAATTCTAAAAAAAACTAAAAATTTAAGTGTAGATACACTGGAAACAGAGATGGGTCTGTTAGCTAATGAAGACAAGGAAAAGGCAGAAATTTTAAATTACCATATTTTTCGGCGTATAAGACAACCCCCAACTTTTCCAGTTAAAATATAGAGTTTGGGATATACTCGCCGTATAAGACTACCCCTCTTTCAACGCACACCAGATAAAAATTAAAAAAACAGTGGGTGTCTGTGAGGGGTGTAGTGTGTATGTGAAGGGTGCAGTATGTGTGTGTGATGGATGCAGTGTTTGAGGGGTGCTGTGTGTGAGGGTGCTGTGTGTGAGGGTGCTGTGTGTGATGTGCGGGAGAGTGCTGTGGGTGAATGTTAAAAGGGAATGTGTGTTGGGGGGATAAAAAAAAATAAAAAAATAAGCAGGCATTATATCCAAGTCAAATTGCCAGAATCCCGCAGCAAGATACCACTGGTAGATGTAGTCCTGTATCCTGTACAGAGCTGGCCGGGGAGGCTGTGATCCCTCCTGTCGGTCACACTCACCATATACACCACGTTCAGCGCACACAGCGCGTTCTTGTAGCAGGTGAAGCCGCCGCACCCCATCCTCCTCTCTTCGTTTTGGACGCCCCGGTCTCACGGTCTGCTGTTACAGGGTTCGTCTCCTTCCTAAAATGCCAGAACCACTTCTTCCTTTATTTTTTGTTTGTCGCTCTTGGCCCCGCTAGCCAGTGACGTCTCCGGATCTCGCGAGAGGAACCCGGTGGAGCTACAAAATAGAACTCCGCCGGGTCCTCCTCTCCCTCCCCAGCTGCATGTCTCTTCAAGTGGGCCGGTGAGGAAGATCTTTGACACTCGGATAGTGCAGGCTCTGCATAGACCGCCCTATAAGACGACACCCGGCATATAAGACGACCCCCAACTTTTGAGAAGATTTTCCTGGGTTAAAAAGTCGTCTCATACGCCGGAAAATACAGTACTATTTTTCTTCAGTATATATTAATGAGGATCCTATGGCAAGAGATATGCAAATGATTGCTGCAATAAACTTGTGATTGGATGATTCGAGACAAGGTGCTACAGCTGTTAAAGAAAATTAATGTAAATAAAGCTCCGGGGCCTGACGGTAGTCATCCATGAGTACTTAAGGAGCTAAGTGGGAAAATAAGTGAACCTCTGTATTTAATCTTTCAAGATTCTTTTGTTTCAGGTATTGTACCGGAGGATTGGAGGAAGGCAGATGTCGTTCCTATATTTAAAAAGGGTTCAAAATTCTTGCCTGGAAATTATAGATCTGAGAGCTTAACTTCTGTGACTGGGAAAATATTTGAAGGGCTATTAAGGGGTAATATTCAGGAATTAATTTGGAAGAACTTTGTTATTAGCAATAATCAGCATGGTTTTATGAAGCACATGTCGTGTCAAACTAATCTATTTGCATTCTATGAAGAAGTACGTTGAAGTATAGATCAGGGTGTTGCAGTGGATGTGATCTATTTGGATTTTGCCAAGGCATTTGATACGGTTCCTAACAATAGGTTAGTCTTCAAAACAAATTAAGAAGGCGCAGTGGCCAAGTGGTAAGGTGTTGGTCTTGTAAACCCCTTCCCGACCTCGGATGTGCAGGATACGTCCAACAAAAAAAAGGCAGTTAATGATCACGGGTACTCACCTGGACCGGCGATCCGCGGTGATCCAGGTCGGGGGAACTGCCTGAGACCCCAGCAGTCCCCCTGTGGCAGCTGCGGCCTCTCCAGTCTTCCAGGGCCACGTGATCACCATGATCACATGGCCACAATATGAGTTAATGGAGCTGCCTGAGCAATCAGGCAGTCCCCCTGACACCTAAAAGTGTAAATAAATAAATTAATATATTATACATATTGTATGTGTATAATATATTATAAAATAATTAAAGAATTGTATAATATTTTATACATATATAATGCACATATATGATATATACAGGAAAAAAAAATGTGTGTGTGTTTATACATATTATATACACATTCTACATTTAGAGTAACGTCTCACAAGTACAACACTACCCCTCAAGTACAGGTTTTATGGTGATTTGGAAAGTTACAGGGTCAAACATAAGATTTGCCAATTTCTATTTTTGTAAATTGCTATTTGCCAGATTGGCTATGTTGCTTTTGAGACGGTATAGCAGCCAAAACATTAAAAATAACCAACATGATATACCATTTGATAAAGTAGACAACTCAGGGTATTCAATACGAGGTATGTCCAGTCTTTTGTAGTAACCACTTAGTCACAAACACGGGCCAAAGTTGGCATTTATATTTGTTTGTGTGAAAAGTGCAAAAAAAGAATATAAACGCTGATTTTGGCCAGTGTGTGTGACTAAGTGGCTTATAAAAAAAAAAGAAAAACCTGAAAATACCGTATTTGCAACACCTTGGGTTGTCTAATATTGCAAATGGTATGCCATCATGGGGAAATTCTTATTCCTGGGCTACCATACGGTCTCAAAGGCAATGTAACCAATTTGCCAAATTTCAATGAAAAAAATGAAATGGGCAAGCCTTATATTTGACCCTGTAACTTTCAAAAACACTATAAAACCAGTACATGGGGGGTACTGATATACTTGGGAGACTTCGCTGAATACAAATATGAGTTTTTCAAAACAGTAAGACTTATCACGATGATAATATCACCAGTAAAATTGCGGTTTATGTTTAAAAAAATGCAAAAAAACGCTAACTCTGGCCAGTGTTCGTGGCTACTACAAAAGACTGGAAACACCCTATTTGGAATACCCTGGGTTGTCTACATTTGCAAATGGCATGCCATCATGGGCGTAATTCTTATTCCTGGGCTACCATGTGGTCTCAAAGGCAACATAGCCAATTTGGCAAATTTCAATGAAAAAAAAAATGAAATGGACATGCCTTATATTTGACTCTGTAACTTTCAAAAACATTATAAAACCAGTACATGGGGGTTACTGTTATATTCGGGACACGTCTCTGAACACATATTTGTGTTTCAAAACAGTAAAATGTATCACAACAATGATATTGTCAGGGAAAGTGCCCTCTCCTAAGACACTAAGACCACAAAGAGCAATATACGAGGATGCATACGATGCCTTGGATGTGTCACATGTGGACATATGATTCCGTCTAAGAAATTTACCCATCCACACACTAATAAAGTATATGACATCAGGCACACCATTTCATGTAAAACTCCCTATGTCATCTATAAACTTATGTGTTCCTGCGGACTGTATTATGTGGGGAAAATGGAGACCCCCATATGTGAGCGCATCCGAGGCCACCAGTCTAGTATGAGGTTGGCATATCGTGATGGGCAATCTGACAAACATTTTCTGGAGATGGGTCATCCACTATCCTCCCTCAAATTTGTGAGTATAGACCACATTCCCTCTCCTAAGAGGGGTGGTAATAGAGGTAGGATCCAAAAGGAAGCTTTTTGGATATACCAGCTGGGTACGGTGGCACCTAAGGGGTTAACGGAAATATTCCCTATTCGTTTATTTGATTTCACCAGCTGGTACTATATAGATTTTATTTCTTTGTGTATGTGAATAGCGTAAAATAGGTCAAAGAAGTAAATGTACATATGAGCTTTACAGTAATATATATAGATGTTTTAATTAAAGTGATAGCATTAGCTTGTATGTATGGTTAGGCTAGAATGCACCATTTATTGCACTCCATAGGTATGTAACTTACATGCACAGGCATTAGTCCTGTATGGTTTTTATATAAGGGATAGTATATTTCCCTATTTTGAAATCCTATTCTATATGCATTATTTGCGATTATCCTTTATTAACTTTTTATAGATACTTGTTCATAATATGTATTTTTATACCCTATGCCCTTTCCGATTTTGGAATTCAAACTCTCATTCCTCTTTCTTTGTTCATGGTGGTTTGGCTCTTTTTTCTATATTATAGCGGAGTTCCGGCATCTGTGGTTGCTAAGCAACCACATACACTGAGCCTATGAAACCGTCAGGGGGCGGAGCGTATTTGCGTATGCGCGCACATACCCGGAATTGCACGGGATCACGGCCAGCATGAGCACACTGCACCTGGGTGAGTTTAACCTAATTACATTTATGCTATATATTGTCATGTGTAAGTTGTTGTTTTATGTTGTCTTGTTACCCTGAGGAAAGTCCCGAATAGGGACTGAAACGTTGGTCTCTGATTTTAACTTGAACTAAATAAAATATTGGAATTTTAAAGACCGGTGAGCAGCTATCCTTTGGCACATATATATATCTGTCTAACATTGCCTCATATTTGGAGTATGGGATTGCTTTGAACCTAACAAACTAATGATGTTATTCAATATAAATTTAAAGACATGAATGGACGAATGACCCACTTAGAAATGTGTTTGCTCGTTTGTTCGATTTCCATCTTTTTACATTTTGTACTAATTAGTGAATTCTCAATTAACCGCAGTCAAATAGTTCCAAGTTTATTGAACGAAACTCAACATATTTATCTACATTGGAATATTAATAAAACAAAAAATGGATATCTTACCTCGACAGAAATGTGCTCTTCACGTCACCCCCAGCAATTTCACTTCTGGATAGATAGTGTCACTTTTCACTATTTATTGTGTATTAGTATTATTATTATTATTATTATTATTATTATTATTATTATTAGTATTATTATTATTATTATTATTAAAGGGACACTATAGTCACCAAAACAGCTATAGTTTAATGATGCAGTTTTGGTGTTTAGATCATGCTCCTGCGGTCTTACTGGTCAATTCTCTGCCATTTAGGAGTTAAATCACTTTGTTAATACTGCCCTAGTCACACCTCCCTGCGTGTGACTTACACAACTTTCCCAAACACTTCCTGTAAAGAGACATCCAAAGTTTAAACTTCCTTTATTGCAAATTATAGTTAATTTAGAATTTCTTATCTCCTGCTCTGTAAATAGCTTACTAGACCCTGAAGGAGCCTCCTGTATGTTATTAAAGTTACATTTACAGAGCAGGAGATATTATTTATTATTATTGCCATTTATATAGTGCCAACAGATTCCATAGCGATTTACAATATAATAAGAGGGGGGGGGAATTAGCTATAAATAGGACAATTACAAGAAAACTTACATTCTATAGGAGGTGGGGTGTAAAACACATTAGAACAGGAATTTGCAGTCTAATAAGCCGGGCTGCCCTTTAGGAGAGAGCAAGAGACAGGTATGTGAGATAGAGGTTACTCTGGGAGGCCATAAGCTTTCCTAAAGAGATGGGTTTTAAGGCATTTCTTAAACAATTGAAGACTAGGGGAGAGTCTGATGGCAGTAGGCAGGCTTTCCATAGGAAGGGAGCCAGCTTTGAGAAGTCCTGCAAGCGTGAGTTGGCAGTACAGGTGCGAGTAGCAGACAAGAGAAGGTCACGGGCAGAGCGGAGAGACCGAGAAGGGACATACTATGGATCTGTGAGGAGATATAAGCGGGCTAAGATTGTTCGGTGCTTTATATGTATGGGTTAGCACTTTGAATTGACTCCTATAGGATACAGGAAGCCAATGTAAGGACTGACAGAGGGGTGAGGTGTGAGGACCGACTAGAGAGGAAAATCAGTCTGGCGGCAGCATTCATTATGGACTGTAGCGGGGCAATACAGCTTTTGGGAAGACCAATCAGGAGAGGGTTAAAATAATCCATGCGGGAAATTACTAGAGCATGGGCAAGCTCCTTGGTAGCATCTTGCGTAAGAAAGGGGCGGATGTGGGCGATGTTTTTAAGATGGAATCTACAGGACTTGGTAACATGCTGGATGTATAGAGAATAGCCTTATGCCTATCCCACGCATGCTTAAACTCCCTCACAGTGTTAACCTCTACCACTTCAGCTGGAAGGCTATTCCATTTATCCACTACCCTCTCAGTAAAGTAATACTTCCTGATATTATTTTTAAACCTTTGTCCCTCTAATTTAAGACTATGTCCTCTGGTTGTGGTAGTTTTTCTGCTTTTAAATATAGTCTCCTCCTTTACTGTGTTGATTCCCTTTATATATTTAAATGTTTCTATCATATCCCCCCTGTCTCGTCTTTCCTCCAAGCTATACATGTTAAGATCCTTTAACCTTTCCTGGTAAGTTTTATCCCGCAATCCATGAACCAGTTTAGTAGCCCTTCTCTGAACCCTCTCTAAGGTATCAATATCCTTCTGAAGATACGGTCTCCAGTACTGTGTACAATACTCCAAGTGAGGTCTCACCAGTGTTCTGTACAATGGCATGAGCACTTCCCTCTTTCTACTGCTAATAGCTCTCCCTATACAACCAAGCATTCTGCTAGTATTTCCAGCAGGGATATGGGACGATAGTTAGAGGTGGTGGACAGGTCGAGGGATGTTTTTTTTCAGGATAGGTACTACAGTAGCATGTTTAAGATCAGAAGGGACAATGCCAGAAGAGAGAGAGAGCAGTTGAAGATGTGTGTTAATGTCATGTTACATGATGTTGTTTTATTATAATGTACTGTTTCTTTAATGTTCATCTTAAGTTTGTCTATTGGGCCACTCCATAGTTTGCATGCTGCTCCAGGTACTCCCCTCCCCTGTTTCTGTTCTAGTGTATTCTATGCTGTACATTCATATGTGACTTGTATCTCTCCTAACCTGTATGGAAAAATCATTCTTTTACCTGTCGTAACTGCACATTCTACAGATCATATGACGAATAAACACCGCCAGATCTTCTTACATGTGAGTTGTGACTGAGTAAACTATCTGGGAAGGTGATTTGGTATGGATAATCTCATCAGAGCAATGAGCGCCATGTGCTCCTGAAAAAACACATTCATAGCCTCTGCAGCCGGTCCAGAATAGTAAAAGAACGTATCCAGCAGCTTGTACAGAGATTGCTGTGTCACAGGACAGATCATAGTGAAGTATAACTGTGTGTATTGTATGAGAAGTCTGCATACACCCCCAGCACAGCTTGTTACAGCCCCACACAGTATACAGACACACTTCACTGCTACAGCCAAGCCTGTGGACCTCAGGCCATCATGAGTGGAACACCACAGCATGCACCACATGGAGAAAGCCAGGGTGAGAACCCAGATCCCAGTGCATTGGCTAAACGCTCTGTGAAACCCACATGGAAGGTTAAAGAGAACTATGAATCCATGAAAACTGAACTAGCAACCAGTTTGAAGCAGATTCGGGATAAAATCCTCACCTACATTGATGTGATTTCATGTCCCAGCCATGAGGTACTGCAACTAGAGGGCGCCATAAAGCCTCTCTCTGCTTCATATGAACTGTACCAGACTACAAGCAATAAATATATAACTATTCTGCAAAACATTAACACTGAGGAATCATTAGAGCAACTTAACAATGTCCAGCTTCTTAACGTGGAAAGAGAAAGCTTTATCCTGCTAACTAAAGCAAAGGCAGAAGCAAAATTAAAGCAGCCACAGGACACTGTATCTCACAGATCCGTATCCACCAGACATTCTAAAAGTTCCTCTAGATCCCAAAGTTCAAGGCACTCAACGCTTAGTGAACAGCTTATAAATGCCCGTGCCGAAGCAGAGGCTTTCAAAGTACATATGCTAAAAAGAGAGCAGACATGGAGGCTGAGGCTGCAGCAATGCAAGCCGAAGCGGCAGCAATGCAAGCCAAAGCGGCAGCAATGCAAGCCGAAGCAGCAGCAATGCAAGCCGAAGCGGCAGCAATGGAAGCTGAGGCAGCATCTAAAGCAGCACGTCAAAGTGCAGCAATTGAAGCTTTAAAGGAACAGAGCAACTACGAGGCAGCTGCAGCAAAACTAAAGATTTTGGAACAAGCTATTGGTGCAGAGGAAAATGCTAGTGAAAGGGAAGATCCATTCGAACGCACTAAGAACTATGTTCTAAACCACAGCAGCGAGCACTCAATTGCCTCCATTCTGCACAACAACGCAAGGACTTCACCACACCACCAGGCAAAAGCTGTTCCAGCAACTTCCTACATGCAAAACCACCCCAGTGCAGCGCCTGACTGTCATGCTGAGTCTGTATATGTCACAGAACGGCACACTAGCAATTCACCAACCTCCTGCTAATAGTACCATTCCAGACTTTAACCAAACAACTCAGCTGAACGCCCTTGCTGCACCATATCTTCCCACATCTTTTTACAACAATACCATAAACAACGCAAACCGCAACATTCAACCAGCAACCTCCTACGTAAAGTGAGAGGCAACTGATACAGCAGAGTTTGTAAACGTATATACTTTGACGTGAGCTCACCAAGTCAGGCCTAGTAAGCTTCAACGACCATCCTGAAAATTACAGAAGCTGGAAAGCTGCCTTCAAAACTACTCTAGGTGATCTTGGCATTACTGCTCCTGAGGAGCTGGATCTGCTGATCAGGTGGCTTGGCCCACAATCTACAGAACGTGTCAAGAGCCTCAGGTCAGTCTACATCGACAATCCAACTGCAGGTCTCACCGCTGCATGGGAGCGTCTAGAACAGAGTTATGGTAGCCCTGAAGCCATAGAGAATGCATTGTTCAAATGATTGGAAAATTTCCCAACGATATCCGGTAAGGACAATAAAGAGTTCCAGAGACTCAGTGACCTTCTTCTCGAAATTCAGCTTGCCAAAACCGACCCTAAACTACCTGGCCTCAGTTACCTGGACACTGCTCGAGGAGTTAACCCTATCATTTACAAGCTTCCGTATAGCCTACAAGAAAAGTGGATCCAAATTGGGTCATCATACTTCTGCGATTTTGTCAAGAACATCGCTGACACCAAGAACGATCCTAGTTTTGCATTCGGCGAGTTCAGTATTCCCTCACTTAAAGGTGACGACCTACACATCAGTTACAGGAACCGTAGAGAACCCATGTCTGTTAAGAAGACAGACATTATTCCCGCTCCCACCTCAGCTCCCGCCTCAAACAAGAGCAGCAAGATCGAAAACCCAAACCGATCAAGTCCTATTCACAAGAAGCCACATCCCCTCAAAAAAAATGTATCGGCTTTAGGAAGAAGCCCCTACAAGAACGAAAGGAACGTACGGGAGAAGGGTCTGCAGTGCTGGGGGATAGGATGGCTAGAAGGTTGGAAGAGATTTTAAACTAGTAGTGGGGGGGGGAGGGTCATAGCAATCTAGAAAATGGACATAGGACAGAAAGGAGATGGGCTTTAGCACAGTATAAGGGGGTGGAGACGGGGGAAGGGCAAGCTCAGAACAGAGAAGCTGTGTAATGATGATAATTCACAAAAAGTACAAGTGACTCATGATATTAAATGTATGCTTACTAATGCAAGGAGCCTAAATAACAAAATGGGGGAACTAGAGGCATTAGCATACACTAAATAATATGATATAATAGACATAACTGAAACATGGTGGGATGAGACTGACTGGGCAGCTAACTTAAATGGGTACATGTTATTTAGGAAGGATAGGAAAAACAAGAAGGGTGGTGCGGTATGTTTGTATGTCAAACATGATTTAAAGCCAAATGTTAAGCAAATGGAATGCGAGGAGGATAATGTGGAAGCTTTATGGGTAAATATCTGCTTGGGGGAAAAGAAGGGAAACCAACTATTGGTTGGGATATGTTATAAACCACCTAATGTTTATATCAATAATAGTATTTATGGTCTACACACCAGTATTATTTCCAATGTTTTCTTCACTTACAGGTTCAAGTTGGACTTTTAGACATTTCGATCATATATATATATACACACACACACACACACACACACACACACACACACACACACACACACATACATATAATAGGCTTTGAAATCTAAAGATTTCAGGCGGGGAGTGTCATGTTACATGATATTGTTTTATTATAATGTACTGTTTCTTTAATGTTCATCTTAAGTTTGTTTCTTGGGCCACTCCGTAGTTTGCATGCTGCTTCAGGTACCCCCCTGCCCCTCTGTTTTAGTGTTTTCTATGCTGTACTTTCATATGTGACTTGTATCTCTCCTAACCTGTATGGAAGAATCATTCTTTTACCTGTTGTAACTGCACATTCTACAGATCATACAACGAATAAACATCACCAGATCTTCTTTCATGTGAGTTGTGACTGAGTAAACTAGCTGGGAAGGTGATTTGGTATGGATAATGTCATCAGGGCACTGAGCGCCATGTGCTCCTGAAAAACACATTCATAGCTTTTGCAGCCGTTAAAGAAGGCACAAGACAAGAGGAGAGAGTTTTGATAAAGTGAGACGGGACAGGATCGAGTGGGCAAGTCGTGGGGTGAGTGGAAAGGAGAAGCGCAGCCACCTCTTGTTCAGTAACCGGGAAGAATTCTGAAGGGTAGGAAAGGAATTATCTATGTGTGGATGAAAAAGAGAAAGGCAGGGTGTGGAGACATTTTTCCTTAGCTGTTCAATCTTGTCAGTAAAGTAGCATGCAAAGCTGTAAGGTTTGTTTGAGTGGTGGCCACAGCAGGGCAAAGAAGAGAGTTAAAAGAGTCAAAGAGACGCCTGGTATTGCGGGAGCATGAACTAATGAGAGAGGAAAAGTATGACTGTTTCGTGAGGGCAAGGGCTGCACTGTATGAACACAATATGAATCTATAACGGAGAAAGCCCAACTGGGTGCGAGACTTTCTCCAGGAGCGTTCAGCACAACGGAAGCATCTTTGCAGGTAGCATGTTGATTTAGTATGCCATGGTTGGGGGCATGTCCTCCTCGAGGTGCATGTTTGGAGTAGGGCTGCAGCATACAAGGCAGAGGTGAGGGTAGTGTTATATGTGGAGATGGCCAGTAAAAATGTCTAAAGTTAATATACAGCTGATTGAAAACTAAATCATTATGTTTCCATGCAGGCTGTGTCAGTCAAAGCCAGTTGAGGTGTGGCTAGAGCTGCATAAACAGAACAAAAGTTATTTAACTGCTAAATGGCAGAGAATTGAGCAGTGAGATGTGGGCGCATGAGCTATACACCAAAACAGTTATTTTGGCGCCTATAGTGTCCCTTTAACATTTATATTTAGCACAAACCAATTCCCCAGTGCTTTACAGATATAGAATGGGTATATTTCACAACAAGTGAGTGACGGATAGAATATAACAGTGACATGAGGTCACTTCTGCTCAAAAGAACTTACAATCTATTGGAGACCATTTTTCGTCTTTTCTGTAAAATAATCTGTCTCAAAGACACTTTATTCCTCTTCCAGGATATTTTGCTCCCTTATCCTAGTGATTTTACAGCTGATTACATTCACAAATAGGAGATAAATGAGTAATATTACAGGACAAAAAGGGGCATTCACAAGCAGTGGCGTACACACGACCCATGGGGCCCCGGTGCAAAAATTGATCCATAGCCCCCCTTACTCGGCGCGGGTCGGGGCCGCAACACATGGCGGCGGGCACCTGGTCGCAGGGCTGCGACCCCGCGAATGCGGTATGCTGCACACAGACCTAAAGGACCACTACAGACACCCAGATCACATCAGCTCAATGAAGTGGTCTGGGTGCCAGGTCTCTCTAGTTTTAACCCTGCAGCTGAAAACATAGCTGTTTCAGAGAAACGGCAATGTTTCACTGAGGGTTAATCCAGCCTCTGGTGGCTGTCTCATTGACAGCCGCTAGAGGAGATTCCGCGATTCTCACTGTGAAAAATCACAGTAATGCTTTCCTATGGGCGGTTTAAATGCGTGCGTGCGCCTCTTGCCGCGCATGTGCATTCGGAGCTGAGAGGCGGCGGGATCTCCAGCGCCAAGGAAGTCCGGCGCTGGAGAAAGGTAAATGCTGAAGACACACACTCTCACGAACAGACGCATACACACTAGTTAACAGACACACACATTTACTGACAGAGACACACTCAGCGACAGACATACATACACACTCACTTACAAAACATACACTTTCACTGACAAACATACACTCACTAACAGACATCAGACACACTCAGTAACAGACACACTAACACCCACACACACTAACACATGTTTTTTTTTTTTTTTTAAATCGAATCCCCCAGCCTCCTTACCTTTTGGAGTGCTGGGGGGATTCCCTGGGGTCCAGTGGTGGTGCTGCTGGCTAGGGCGCGCGAGGGAGCATTTTCCCCTGTGTGCTCCCTCTTCAGCTTCCTCGCGTAGGGATGCCGGCGCTGGAAGATGACGTAATTTTTCCGCTCTGGGATCAGTGCGGTGCGCGAGGGAGTGGAAGAGGGAGCACACAGGGGAAAGTGCTCCCTCAAGCGCCGGCCAACCAGACAGCCCGCCCGCTGGGGTCAGCAGGGCCAGCCTCGGGGGGCCCTGAGGTGGCCGGCTCCTGGGCCCCCCAGGAGAAGAGGCTGGCCCTGTGGGTACATACCGGGTCGTAGGGGCGGTCGGGCCCCCTGGTAGGCCGGGCCCGGTCGCAGCCGCGACCCCTGCGACCACAAGAACGTGTCCCAGAAAACACGTCACTCGAACAGGTCAGAAAGGGAAGAAACACACACTTACAGCTCATTCTATACACTAGATGCAAAAAAATTATGAACCAAAGAAAATAAACCAAATAATCTAACAGAAAGAACCCAAATAATCTAATGGAAGAGAGGCAGTAAGGACCTTTTTCTGAATAACTCTCAGTGAGCGTTGCTCTACATACCCCTTACACAAGGCTGGCTTTGGATGGTCTCGGAAGGTCATCTGTTCACTTTCAAAACCTGAGTGGACCACAAACACTCCGCCGATCAGGACATCTCCGGCTCGTGTGAAAGTTTCAATCGGCCACCCCTGGAGCCTACATCCTGGGACCGAATGCCCTTCATCCAGAAAGGAGAGCAGCAGGAGAAGCTGGAGTACCCTCCCCATGGACTTCTCATTACGTGTCCTCCCAATGCTGGAGAAATAGGCAAGACTGAAAAACATCAAGTAAAGTGTATTCCTAAAACAAAAATCAGGACCATTGATTTATTAAATGGAATGATAAATGCAGGTATAATAATATAACAAAACATTTTATTTGATATGATTCAGCTTATGGTCTGAATAAGACAGTGAGTGATAAAGAGACAGAGACTTGTAGAATGTCATTTATAGAAGCATTTTCCATTGGTGTGTATTCTGTGTGTATTCATGCTGTGTGCATGCTATTTTGTGTGTATTCTGTGTGTTCATTCTGTGTGTGTATTCTGTGTGCATGCTATGTGTGCATTCTGTGTGTATTCTGTGTGTATGCTATGTGTGTATTCTGTGTGCATTTTGTGTGTATTCTGTGTGTGTGTGTGTGTGTGTATTCTTTGTTCATTCTGTGTGTGTATTCTGTGTGCATTTTGTGTGTGTGTCCTGTGTGTTCTCGGTTTGCATTCTGTGTGCTCTGTGTGTGTTTTGTATACATTCTCTGTGTATTCTGTGAGCCTTGTGTGCATTAGGTGTGATCCATGTGTGCGTTCTATATACATTCTGTGTGCATTCTTTGTGTGCTCTCCTAGAAACATTTCAAATGGACAAAGAGGGCACTTTAATTTAAGAGGTGTGAGTGGGGTGTAAGCAGGAACGGGGCTGTTCTGAGACATTTTGGGTGACTAATAACAATTTATGCAACTTAAATGTAATTTATAACAAGAATAATGTATCTCATTTACATAGACTGATGTTTAACACATTTATTGCAGTTTAAAGACACATTACAGGGAGTTTCATTGCTGTGGAGCTCTGTTATACACTGAGACACACCAACAATATGGAGCTCCTAGAAAAGAGGGACAGAGGGATTTGGGTCCAAAATATGCCTGTCCCTCCTAAATAGGGACATATAGAAGGTGTACATTCTGTGTGTACTCTGATTGTATCATGTGTGCTCTCTGTGTGCTCCTTCTGTACTCGCAGTATGTACCTACCCTGAGCCTTTTAAAGTGAATGTCCATGAAGAGTCCTACATGTGCACTGTCCAGGTTTGTCTACAGCAGCTGATTAAATCCGATCCTTCCATGAACTACAGAAAGCTATAGATCCTGTCCTGAAAGATCGATGGATTAATTAGTTTCATCATTTCAGCAGATCTCACTGTAGAGGTATAAAAGGATGATTGTGGCCAATATCTGCTCTTTTCTGTCTGCCATTTGTATAGATGTATGTTCCTGTGCATGCGTGTGTATTGACATGATCTGTTATATATAACAGTATCGCCTGCCCAGCTGTGGAGCAGTTGAAACTCCTGTATCCAGCTGACAGTGAAATATTATAATTGGCCTTTTGGGTTCTCTCCCTATGAGTGTCCCCAACACCTGGAGGGAATGACTCTACCTGCTCTAATTAGGAGTTTGGTAATTACAGGTTTGTTCTCCGTTAATTACAGGGTCTGATTTCCTTAAGGCTTGGGATTTAGATAGTAATAAAAGGTTAGCAATGGAATCTGTGCACTAGATGATTTCACTGGGACTTAACCCTCAGAGAATATGGAAAAGAGGAAGCAAAGCTGCTAAAATCAGGAAACCGATGTATTTCTTCAATACCTTTGTGAAGATAATTACTCATTGGCCTCATGTTAAGAAACTTCATCTGTGAATCATGTGATAATTTAGTTGTCTTAGTGCACAAAAAAGAGCCAAGTTGTTGCGTCATGAAAACAAAGCTCAGTTGTTGGGTCGTGTGAAGGAAGCTCAGCTGATGGGTCATGTAAAGATGTTTCTCATTGGGTCATGTGAAGGAAGCTCAGTTGATGGGTCATGTAAAGAGGTTTCTCATTGGGTCACGGGAAGGAACTCAGTTGATGGGTGTGGCGAAACCAACTTCGCCACGAAACATTGGAGAAGCCCCATGTTAAAAAGCCTTCTTTTCCCCTGCAGAAAAAGCTAGTTCATGCCTTTCTGCTCGGTGTTCGGTAGATTCAATCTACCGAACAAACAACCGAATGACTGGACCACCTGTATTGGGAGTGTGTCGGCAATTGACCTCCCAGAAGTTGCGGTTAACCGCAGCTTAATTGACGAATGCTGGGTGGCCTTTGTTCATTTGCCGAACACGTGGCGGCGGCCATTTTAAAGTCCCAAACGGCCAGCGGTGTTCAGCGCCCAAACTATGGAACTGGAAACAGACACTTATTTGCGCGAACACCGCTGAGCCGTCAGCCTCCTTGCTTCTGCAGTCGGTCATTTAACCGGATACCTGTTCATTCGGTAGTTTATCCGGATGAACAGCAATACCCCAGATAGCCATCCCGTGGAGTCCATTCGTATGGAGAACAGACTTTGTGAACACTTTGACTCCACAGCGATTGGACTGTGTGCATAGGATCTGAACGCTATTGGGTACTTTTGTGCGTTCAGATCCCAGCTATCTGGGGATGGGTTACATGTATATATTTTATGTGACAAATGTAACATTATGTCTTTTATTGTATTTTAGTGTTTTATTGTAACCATGTGGTTAATGGAGTTTCGCCTCTGTCCTTGGAGATAATTGGATTACTTCCCAATTATCTCCAGGATAGAGAGGAGGGATTGTAATGTACTGTGGGAATGTTTTAACCCTGTATGCCTGTGATTGGTCATTTTACCATTTGTGTCCCAGTCTTCCATCTGGTCCCCTAGGGGAGTGTCCACCAGGTGGAAGACCTGCATAAATACTGGGCAGGTAGCCCTCAATAAACCAGACCACTGCTTTACCCACAACACGGAGCTTTGTCTCGTCTTTGGGGGGGGGGAGGGGGGGGATTTACTGTATGCTGTTAGAGACTGATTGTCAGGAGTGTAAGCCGCTTGGGTGCTTTTCCTGTCGTCTGCTAGCAGCTATTCGTGAGGTTCCAGTTCAGGAGTTTGGAGTGCTACTTTGTATGCAGTTCGGGAGTTTGGAGCATTCCCTTGTATGCAGTTCGGGAGTTTGGTGTTCTGTAGTAGCTGTGTCTGTGTCTCTGGAAGGGAAGATCTACTAAATGGCGGTTTAACCTTTTTATGCCTGGGGGTGCTGTTACAATTGGTGGCAAGCGGCGGGATTGTTCCTACAGCCAGAAGGACAGCTACAGGAGACACCATTTCTTTGGATTTTACAAATTGAGGGCAACACATGTCCCAGTACAGCGACCCTGACAGCACCAGGATGGAACCAGCAGTGGAGTACAGATACTCTCTGAGAGAGTATGACCGTGTGGTTCCGGCTAAGCTTCTTCGGACCCGATCCACTGGAGAGAACTGTGCGGTTCGTGAGGAACTCAGTGTTCGCGACTCTACTAGACAGGGCAGAGAGAGGGGGTCAGCTGGCACGTTGGGAGGAACTCCAGCGGCAGGTACAGTTACGGGAAGAGGAGAGCAGAGTCCCCATTCCCCAGCGGCAGAGTGAAGTGCAGGGAATTGGGAGCCCAGTCTCCATTCCCCAGCGGCAGTGTGATTTGCAGGTAATTGAGAGCCCAGTCTCCATTCCCCAGCAGCAGTGTGATTTGCAGGGAATTGAGAGCCCAGTCTCCATTCCCCAGCGGCAGTGTGATTTGCAGGGAATTGAGAGCCCAGTCTCCTTTCCACAGCGGCAGTGTTATTTATTGGGAATTGAGAGCCCAGTCTCACTTACCCAGCGGCAAAGTGAGTTAAAGGGGGCAGGGACAGTTGGTCCTGTCCCCCAGCGGCAGAATTTCCCCAGCAGCAGGACTCTGTATTGGGAGCGGAGACAGTCGGTCTCCCTCCCCCGCGGCTGGAAGTATAAATGGGAGAGGAGCTGGTTACCCCCTCTCCCCATCGGCAGCTTAACGCACCAGGGGGAGACAGTAAGCCCCACACCCATGCAGATGGGACCGTGGTCTCTGCACTTACAGCACAGGGGGTAGGGACGGTCGGTCCTGCCCCCCAGCGAAAGGGCTGTTTAGCCAAAGGGGAGACAGTCGGTCTCCCCCCACAGCAGCGGAGCAATGAATCCAAAGGGGAGACAGTCGGTCTCCCCCTCCAGCAACCAGACTCCAACCAGGCTACTTCCACGGTAGCGCTGGCACCAGGGCCGAGTGCCGCTGGTCTCTGCCCACTCAGCAACCCACCAAGGCAGCCTATCAGTCCCCCGCACAGCTGTGATGAGGCACCTGGACATGGACAAGTTTCTCCTCTACCCAGGTGTAGTAACCATTTATTGTGGGTAGGCTGTACTGCTGATTGTGTTTTGTGGGTGAGCTGCTGGACTAACAAGGGCACTGACCGGCAGGAGGTCAGATACCCTGTTAGCCTGTTTGGAAAAGGGGAGAGATGTGGCAAAACCAACCTCGCCACGAAGCATTGGAGAAGCCTGGTTGCTCGCCTGTTGCCCTTGGACTATGGCCCCATGTTAAAAAGCCTTCTTTTCCCCCTGCAGAAAAGGCTTGTTCGCGCCTTTCTGCTCGGTGTTCGGTAGATTCAATCTACCGAACAAACAACCGAATGACTGGACCACCCGTATTGGGAGTGTGTCGGCAATTGACCTCCCAGAAGCTGCGGTTAACCGCAGCTTAATTGACGAATGCTGGGTGGCCTTTGTTCATTTACCGAACACGTGGCGGCGGCCATTTTAAAGTCCCAAACGGCCAGCGGTGTTCAGCGCCCAAACTATGGAACTGGAAACGGACACTTATTTGCGCGAACACCGCTGAGCCATCAGCCTCCTTGCTTCTGCATTCGGTCATTTAACCGGATGCCTGTTCATTCGGTAGTTTATCCGGATGAACAGCAATACCCCCAGATAGCCATCCCATGGAGTCCATTCGTATGGAGAACAGACTTTGTGAATGTAACGGAGCTCCTTGTACTCCGACCGAGTACCCTCCGTTGACGGATGCTCCTAGCGCTTCCTGAGGACTCCAAGCGCTGCAGCAGACACCACAACCACCGCAGACTCCGCAACTGCCGTATCTGGACTGGAGTCTCGCCGTCTTCCTTCCACCCTGGATCAGCTTCTGTCCTCCAGGACTGTGTGGGAAAGAACTCTTCCTTCCACCCTGTATGAACCTCCAGCATCCAGGACTGTGTGGTGAAAACCCCTCCTCCAAGGAGAGCGTGTCAGGAACAAGCTCTTAAAAGAGCTAAGTGACTCAAGCTTAGGGGAGCATGCAGAGCATAGCAATCCCCAGTGTGATTATAACAGCTCCCTCCAAAAACGAGACAAGGCTACGTTTAGAGGGATCAAGAAGAACTGTCAAAACCTTTATTGCCTTGGGACCAGCCAATACAGTTACCACAATAACATTGTTGTGAAACCTCAATAAAATCACAGTCAAACCATATCAAGAAACACACAGTGACTTATCACAACACAATGGCACATTTTTAAAGGGGTGGGGGGAGACAATATTTAACAGTAAATATCTCACCTGCCTGCAGAATTAGCAATATGCAAATCTACCCGAATATGCAAATGAACCAGTCTTGCAATTCAGGTAGTGCATATTGCTGTTGCTACCAACAGAGGGCACTAGACAAGCTCCATAGCCAAACCCACCTAGTTGGTAGCAAACCTCAGCAGTACAAGAGAGCAGGCAATACATTACACAGTACACACACACACACTATAAACAATTACATTACACACACCCTGCACCTATAATGGGTACAGGGTGACTAAAACATAGGATAAATAAAGCAGCCCACATAAATAGTCTGTCTGAAGGTAGACTAGGGGCTTTAAAGCCAGATAGATGAAAGAGTCATAGTCACAGGGGAGGAGGCTGGCAAGTAGGCCTCTCCAGGACCAAGTGGCGAAGGGCACTTCGTCACAGTGAACACTTTGACTCCACGGCGATTGGACTGTGTGCATAGGATGTGAGCGCTATTCGGTACTTTTGTGCGCTCAGATCCCAGCTATCTTGGGATGGGTTACATGTATATATTTTATGAGACAAATTTAACATTATGTCTTTTATTGTATTTTAGTGTTTTATTGTAACCATGTGGTTAATGGAGTTTCGCCTCTGTCCTTGGAGATAATTGGATTACTTCCCAATTATCTCCAGGATAGAGGGGAGGGATTGTACTGTGGGAGTGTTTTAACCCTGTATGCCTGTGATTGGTCATTTTACAATTTGTGTCCCAGTCTTCCATCTGGTTCCCTAGGGGAGTGTCCACCAGATGGAAGATCTGCATAAATACGGGGCAGGTAGCCCTCAATAAACCAGACCACTGCTTGACCCTTAACATAGAGCTCTGTCTCGTCTTTGGGGGGGAGGGGGGGATACTGTATGCTGTTAGAGACTGATTGCCAGGAGTGTAAGCCGCTTGGGTGCTTTTCCTGTTCGTCTGCTAGCAGCTATTCGTGAGGTTCCAATTCGGGAGTTTGGAGAATGCCCTTGTATGCAGTTCGGGAGTTTGGTGAATTCCCTTGTATTCAGTTCGGGAGTTTGGTGTTCTGCAGTAGCTGTGCCTGTGTCTCTGGAAGGGGAAGATCTTCTAAATGGCGGTTTAACCCTTTTATGCCTGGGGGTGCCGTTACAATGGGTCATGTAAAGATGTTTCTCATTGTGTCATGGGAAGGAAGCTCAGCTATTGAGTCAAGTGAAGGAGTTGTTGGGTCATGTAAAGAGGTTTAAAAACTGTAAAATTGAACAAGGAACTGAATTTAAAAAAAAATAATCTTAAAATGTGTAGATCACAGGGCTGCATCACATTTAAAAATCGAGTGACTTGAGGATCTATAACAGAGATTAAACTTAATATGTGAGCGCTCCAACAATAACAATCACCAGTCCCAACTTGGACTCCAGCATTAGTTAATTAAACAATGTAACTAAATAAAAAAAATCTAACCAAACTCAGAATTGTAGCAGACATGTAGTTATATGGATCACCAACTAATTATGTTGCACACATCAAATGCCTAACACATTTACCTCTAAATCAAGCATCAATAATATATATTTTTATTTACTCAATTTGAAAAAGGGCTATAAAGGCAATTCACCAGTATATAGATACACAGTGTCAAAGTGATCAAGTGACACATAGATGAATTTTCTGTATATAGAATCAAATACATAAAACACGTATAGAACATTGAATCAAGAATAAAATAACCATATAAAAATTTAAAAAAGACAAATATCTAATGTTCAATGAGTGGCCCCTTCACTGGAGATGTCCCAGATCCAACAAATAAAAAGTAATTTATGCTAGTCAATGTGATGGTTGAGGAAGATAAATAAAACCTGGAGGGCAGGGAGCTCTAAACCGAACAGAAAGGTGCCAGCTAAGGCACCCCCCCCCCCCCAAGTCTGAAAAAACTCTGGGGATAATCCAGAGCAACTTACCCTGTCCGCTGCACCTCATGCCAGGCTGGGGGAGCACGCCAATCTTACGAGGTAAGTATGTCAGTGAACTTAGACTGATCTCTGACCACTTCTGCCACCGAAAATCGCTGCCGGGTAAAGGAGATCACGCTGAAGATACAATTCCGGATGGGGGAAAAGATAAACTGAAAGTCTATGCGCTTCGTCTTTTCAAAAGACTTTCTCAAGACTAAAGTCTATCAAGGTCCTACTGAGTATATATGCCCTAGTTCGTAATTGTCAATTAAAGGTGATGTCATAAATTACACAGGGGGCATTTTTATTAAACACCATTCCGTTAATAATCCAAAGGAACAATATAAAAACAAATATAACACAAGAACATTATGCTAAACTAAATTCTACTCATTTCCCAAACCGATCCTACACAGAGCTTCATTTACTGTAAATATGTGAGCCAAATATGTCATTAGATGATGATTTAAAGCCGATGGACCTTGGTAGTTTATAAAAATCTTTGTTGGATACCAAGAATGTTTAACTGAGTCCCAAAGGGACCCATGATTATAGGATAACTGGTATTGGATAAAAATAAATAAAATTGAAACTAAAACTCATAAAAACAGAGGATCAGCAAGGAATTTATAGTAATTAACTCCATATTACAGAGATACTACAAAAAATAAACAGGTAATATTGTGAGAATAAGCAATTAATAGGTTGAGGAACTGAAGATGGAGGGAAATTTTACCTCCTACTGGTGATAAGGCATGTAAGAGATCGATCATCAAATACATATATAACAAGAAATTGCATCTATAGACTAAAGACTGATGATGCGCTAAAGGTACAATCCAGATGTCTAAACCTGATCATATAATTTGTTCCAATTCCTCATTGAGGCTATATGGATTTAACGTTTTTAGTTTGAAAACCCATTTCGTCTCTGCGGTAATAAGAGCTTGTTCCCCGTTTAAAGTATTATTCTTTACTAGAATAAGTTCTATTCATATTACTGAAATCTGCATTGAGTCACTATCATGCATGGATTGGAAATGCCTTGCTACTGGGGATTTTATGTCTTTATGGATAATCGCCCATCTGTGTTCCCGAAACCTGGTTTTTAATGTTCTAGTAGTTTGTCCCACATATCGGAGTACACATGTGCAGGTAAGAAGATAGATCACAAATGTTGAATTACACGTGACCCTTGAATTAATTATGAATGTATGATCATTAGATGAGGGACCAAAACTAGATATTCCATGACCCATATGTTGGCACGCAAGTCATCTGGTCGAACCACATTTAAAATTACCTAGTCTTAGGTGTATTGGTTTGTTCATTGGCCTTATCGAGGTTCATGAGGTTCATATTTCTCCTAAATGCGACTCTTGGGGCCATGGAAATACTAAATTTAAGCCAAGGTTCCAACTGTAAAATAGACCAATGCTTATGAAGAATATGAATGATCTGATCATACGTATTATTAAAAACTGTAGTAAAAATGGGGCCTTTATTAGTGGTGACATCCTTTGTGCTGATACTATATTTGTTCCGATCTTTCTTTTTTTGCTTTTTGGAGCTGTCCATCCAATGAGGACAAGATGGCTTCATGGGAATCCAAAGATGGAGCAAGTATTGGAACATAAGGTAAAAAAAGTGTTCATTAGTTGATTGTCACAGCTTACCTTAGTTGGGAGTCTGGTAGGCAGAGATTTATGCTCACCCTTGCAATTAAACACAGGCCAAGGTGGTCAGGTAAGAATTCACAGGTAAGGACACAAGCAGGAGAATCGTCGATGGTAAGCCAAAGTCAGAGGATGCCAGAAGTCAGGATACACATTGCAAATAAACCAAGGTCAGGAGCAAAATGATCTGGATACACATATGTGCAGTCAGGTGAAAGAACTTTGGCAAGTGGTGATGGTGCTTGCTTGAACAGGTGTTGAACAGGTGTTTCTTCTGGAGCTGGAGGAGGGACTCTCAGAGGTACTGGCTGTGTTAATTACTGTGACAAATTGCCCTTTGTTCTTGGAGAGGACTAATGGCAAGCCTCCTGCCCCAAGACTATGGGCCCTGCATAAAGACATGCTAAAAAGGGACTTCCATGCAAAAATGTGCCTCTTCCACTCCCCCTTTTTCCTGTCTTATTGTTCTGCAGCAGGGCATTGTCCCAGGGACACTGCCAGACCAGTTGAAACTGGCTGCTTTGTCCCTCCTCAATCTCTCATCAGCCCTTGCTATTTATCCCCATGGCGATCCAACTGTATTCGTGAGATCGGAGTGCTTTTCGGACATATTGAGCGCTCAGATCCAAGCTATCTGGGGATATGTTGGACATATAGGTTAAACATTGTATTATATGAGTTATGTATTTTTATGTGGTTGTAGTAACAGTTTTTGACTTAGAGATATTTCCAGTTACTGGAGATAAGGTTACCACAGCCACTTAAGCAAATTATCTCCAGGATAGAGGAGAAGATAGACCGGCCACACAGCCTAAATCTGTGGAACTTGTTTGGGCATGAAAGCCATGCTTGTGGTCGGTCAAATGTGCCTTCCATAAAACTTTTGAACCCCTGCTCTAATCTGGGTGATTTTTGGATATGTTGTTCACCCAGATCAGGGCTATCCAGTGATGTGGTGTTTTGGGGTGTTTTCTGTGTTTAGTGAAAAATGTGTGTTTTCTGCCTGTGGGTAATTGAGTTAGTCCATTGTGTTAGGTAATTATACCACAGGCAAGGGTGGGTTTGTGTATATTATCTGGGAGTGCCTAACTGTACAAGAGTGTTTTGATTGGCTTTAAAACTTTGTGTCCTGTGTACCACAAGGTCCACATGGGTGGTAACCTTGTGGGAAAACTTGTATAAAAGAGACAATAAACCCTCAGTTCATTCTGTTCCTGCTTAACCCTCAATACGTAGCCTTGTCTCGTTATTGTAGGGAACTGCTATATTCACACTTCCCACACAGTCTAGGAGGACAGAGGTTGATCCAGGGTGGAAGGAAGATCACGAGACTCCAGTTAAGCTATGGCGGTTGTGGAGTTGTGGTGTCGGGTGCAGTGCTTATGGTCCTCGGCATCAGCTAGGAAGCGTCCGTCAACGGAGGTGCCCAGTAGGGGTGCCAGGTGATCCATTACAGTTACCATAGACTGGGTTCCCTTTTGTGTCACAGAACCAGGACAGGCTAGAACGTAACCTTGGCAGATTCCAGGCTGTGTTGCCGGGATGACAGGACGGGTACAGACAGTACCTACTTGAACAGTTTTAGGCAGAGGTGGGCGAGTAGGGCAGAGGGAGATAAAGTGCCCTCTTTCTCCACAGTAGAAACATAAGCCACAGCCTCTCCTATGGTCTCTCTCCTTAGACGACAATCAGTATGGATGAAGCTGATCTCCATAGGTTCCTCTTTATCCACTGGAGTCTCCCTCGGGACCGGATCATAAAGAGGCAACAAGGAGGCTTGGTGTTGGTACAGGGTCTCCCTATTCCTGGGAACCTGGGATCTTCTGGGATGTGGAGCAGGCTTTGTCACACTGGTCTTGCACTGCGAGTCCATTGCAGTCATGAATGACCCCCAGCTTTCGAGGACAGGACTCTTAGCCAGCATCTGGTGTGCCCAGGTCTTGATCATCCAGACAGCAGGTTGATAGCCGCACGGACCATGATAAAGTCACTGGCATATGTCGGAGGCTTTAAGGCAAATAACATTTTACAATCCACCTTAAAGCACTGAAAGGAAGCACTGCTACCGTCGAATGCAGGTTCCGGGGCTGGGTGTACTGTGCCTCGAAGAATCTGAACTTCTCACTGCAGCTCCGAAACAATCTAGGCCAGGCTGAATACTTGCTGGGTAAAGAATATGAATAACTCTGCGGACTCCATGATGGTCAGTTCATTCTGTAATGGCATACCTGAGGTGGGAGTCCGGTAGGCAGAGGTTTATGCTCACCCTTGCAATTAAACACAGGTCAAGGTGGTCAAGTAAGAATTCACCTGGCCTGTGAGTCTGTGCATGGGGGCTGTGCAGGATATTGCTCCAAGTCTCAGTAAAGGTAAGGACACAAGCAGGAGAATCGTCAAGGTTAAGCCAAAGTCAGAGGATGCCAGAAGTCAGGATGCACGGTAAGACAGCCAAGATCAGAGGAAGCCAGAAGTCAGGATACACAATGCAAATAAACCAAGGTCAGGAGCAAAACGAGCTGGATACACAAAAACAGGAACCAGACAGCAGAACCAGAGTCAATGAACTGACACTGCCCTCAGAGACAGGCAGTGTTTTATACCTGGCTGATTAGGCATACTATACAGGTGAACCATGATTGACAGGAGCAGTCACAAGTTAAGTCCAGCCCCCAGTGCTGGAGACATGGCAGGGCTAAGTTTCAGTTCAAACCAAGAACTGGAGTGGCTCAGAGGCAGGAACACAGACTTAGAACTATGTAGCACGCAGGTTCAAATCCCTTGTTGGGCACTTCTGGGGTGACCTCGTCTGGCTGTTTGGATGTCACGGTGAGAACAATGACATTGATGACTCAAGGAGGGAACTTCTATTCAGGTTTATGACTTTAGTATAAGCACCAAGGATTATATCTGGATCATAGTCTTTGTCCATAAAGCACTGGCAGACATCACGTGATTGTTCCAAAAGGAATATTGCTGATCCATAAAAAAACCTGTTGATGTCAATAGATTTTTGCACTCTACCAGTGGACATGGATTAGCAATATTCTTTTTGGCCAGTTTGTAAGATTATGCTCCAATTGCTTTTTATTGGAACAATTTGAGGAAGAATGTGCAGGGGCCTCAGTGAGGAAAAAGGACAAATGAGTCATTTGTTACATGTGAGTTTACAGAGGAAGAGGTTCTATTTCAACTGTCAAAAGTAAAGACAAATAAGTCAATGGGACCTGATGGAATACACCCAAAGCTATTAAAAGAGCTTAGTGGTGTACTAGCAAAACCATTAACAGATTTATTTACCCAATCATTGTTAACAGGAGTAGTAGAAATAGTTATTTAAAATTCCTGCCTTTTCCTGGTCTTCATTAACTAACACCCCCGTTTCAGTTTTTAGTGTACCTACACTTTCATTTTTGTTTTTTTTAGAATTTATGTACTTAAAAAATGCTTTGGGGTTGGTTTTGCTCTCTTCAGCTATCATTATTTCATTTTGACGTTTAGCAAGTCTAATTGCCTTTTTGCACGCATTATTTGCATCCTTATATCTTTTATAAGACGCATCCGATTTGTCCGATTTAAATGCTTTAAATGCCCTTTTCTTAGTTGTAATCTCTTGTTTTACTTCTCTACTAAGCCACATTGGTTTTAATTTGTTTCTTTTATATTTATTTCCCAACGGTACATACTGAGAAATGTACCTTTGTAATATTTGTTGGAAGATGATCCATTTATCCTCAGTGTTCTTTTCACTAAAGAGTTTATGCCAGTCAATATATTGTAAAGCTTCCCTTAACTTATTGAAATTGGCCTTTTTAAAATGATATGTTTTAGTATTCCCCATGTGCTTTTGTTTTTTTGAGTTTATTTCAAAGGACACTATATTGTGATCACTATTTCCCAAGTGCTCACCTACTTGAATGTTGGTCAAAAGATCAACGTTGTTTGTTAAAACCAGGTCCAGACAAGCGTCCATTCTAGTTGGTGCTTGTACAAGTTGTGACATGAAGGTGTCATTTAACAAGTTTAAAAACCTAATTCCCTTTGCTGAGCTACTAGTCCCTCTGTCCCAATTTATATCCGGGTAATTAAAATCTCCAATAATTAAAGTGTTACCCAGATTTGCAGCTTTCTCAATTTGCTCAAACAGCTATTCTGATGCCAATGTGTCAGAATCATCGGGGACGTGTTTGCAAGCAGAATCATCTCATAGATTAGTAAGATTGAGGAGGGAGCGTTGTACCAGCAAACTTTTATCAAGGCAACATGGGCACTCAAAGGGAGGAGGAGAGTATTAACTGAACAGCCGTTACAGAAACTAAACATATAATGAGTCTTTACATTTGTTGCGTTAGGAGCTGATATGTGTAACATTCAGTAACACCATTCATGGATAGTTTTGCCAGGTTTCCTGATGTTAAAAGGTCAGATTAATGTTCAGTTTTTACAAATACAGAAAATATACCAGGGCCTGGGCCACATTAAGGAGAATTATGTTACATACACATTCAAATTATCTAATAAACTTCAACAATTACCAGAAGTAGACACTCTAAGAATATCTTAGACTTTATTGTGTGACCAGTTGTGCAGTACCCATGCTGGAAGTGTACTCTCATGCAGGTCTCTTTGGATATTACAGCAGGATTGGGGCCTTGGGATTAGAGGGCTCATGAAGGAAGTCTACTTAACTCTTTGCCTTCTCTAATATGATTCACC